AATCACTTGGGCCTCCTCCGCCTCTGCTGGTCCAACTTTGCCTTCTGCTCTGCCTCACCACCCTCTTCCTTTTGTTTCTGGATCCAATCCGTGCTGCTTCTGCTGCTTCTTTATAAAACAAACACACATATAAACAACCCCCCCCCAAACTGTGTTTGTTCAGCTTACCTGACTGTGGCCTCCAGAGTCGCCCTGCACCTGGTCCTCACTTCTCCAAACTCCAGCACTAGTGGCAGCTGTGCACCTTCTGAGCTGTGATCTATAACCTTTGGCAACGGTTTGCACCTGCGCCCCCACGAGCCCCCACCCCCAAGACCTGACACCTGATGCACACAGGACACGAGCTCTACCAACTGAGCTTTATCCCCAGCCTTGCTTTCTTTCTTTTTCACGCCTCACATTCTGTTTCTAGCTGTGTTCTGTGTTCTTTGTATGTAAAAAGGCTCCGGGAACAGTCTTGACTTTCCTTGGTCATTAATCAGACAAGGACAGCACATCGTTGCATATCTCTCATGATTTACAGCCTCAGAGTCATATTATCTCCAGTTCTGTTGATCCTGAAACATTCCTGTGAGGTCAGCAGTGTGAACCCCAGTGTGTGTCCTCGCCATCGGCTACTTCACTACCAGCTCAAGTGGTCGGTCGGTCGGACCTGCAGCCTGCTTTTATCCAGACTGTAGCATTTGCCTATACAGAACAGCCTAGAGGCCTGCTGCCTCCTGGTCCCTGTGGGATTGGGGCTGCCCATACAGAGGTTCCTGTTTCTTCATCCTCACAATCAAGCCTGGCACTGAGCATTCAGATGTCACAAAAGCATAGAGCCCTTAGTCCTAGAGCTGCCAGAATTGGTCCCCGGCTTTTCCAGTGCTCAGAAACGGGTGAAGAAAATGGCTATCATATGTCTTGAAGTGAAAATATATAACTTTTGCAATCTCAATCTTCAACTTTCCCCCCCCCCCAAACCCAGACCATTTCACACAAAACTGAGCAGGCTTTTAAAGTAACCAATTGTTCATATATTAAACAACACAAAACACGGTACTTTTTTAAACATTTATATTTATATATATATAAAATTAAATATATAATATATAGTGTGTTTGAGGCTAAAAATATAGTACACAATATTTTTTTTAAAAAAAAAGAAAAAAAATATCAGAATAGGAAAAGGTGTAAAGGACACACAGATACACATTGCTAAAAATCTATGATGGTTGTCCTAACAAAAATACTTTTTTTCTCTTAGTTGTCATCATGGATCCATTTATGATGAGGATTTTGGTAGAGAAAATTCGACTGGCATCAGAAATGGGGATTACAATCCCAGGAATGGCTGGGGTAGACAGTTTGATCCCAAGAGCCCTGGGTGCCCTGTTAGAATGGAGGCAGCATGGCCTTGAGGGACATGCTAAGGAGCCTACTTTTGTTGTACAGCAAATTGGTTGTTCTCTCCAGAATGCTGCTGTTCCCAGGGGTTACCAACGGCTCCTGGATCCAAGAGAAGAACCTGGCCATCAGTTTGCAAAGGCCAGTGGTTGGGGGCAGCAAACAGCTAAGGTGGGTACTGAGACTGGTAAGTGGTGTTCTATGCACACAAAATTATTACTATTGTTAAGGGTAGGTTTGCACCACAAGCTCCTGGTATGGCCTCTGTCTTCAGTGCAACAATGCTGTACCCTCCTCTCAAATCCGTACTCTGTTACGGCACACGCCTCGGCCCTCTCCACTGGCCCAAGGGTGGTGTCCAAGGCAAGCTGCCAAAGGTTAGTCAGCCCTGGCCAGAAAGCACTGCCTTTAGGAGAAGGAAAAATAGCAGGGAGGTGGGAAGGACTCGGGGAGAAAGGGATGTTAGTTAGGTCTGGGTGGCAGTTTTACAGTCCTTTCACAACAGTCAGTTCCTCACCAATGGAGTCTTGAGGTCTGTGTACCTCAGTGTTTGATTATCAGCTTTTCACCAGGTTCTGTAGGTATACAGCATGCCCGGGCTCAGATTGCACAGAAATGAATTAGGAGTGGCTTTGGGTGGTCATGTAATTCACCCATCGGGACAGAACTGCTCACACAGCAGGATGAGGCAGTGACTGAGCTGGTAGACTCCACATGTCCAAAAGGGTCTTTGGCTTTAACACGAGTTCCTATAAATCCCAATTGCCTAACATTGCTATGTAGTGGGCCAAGTATACAGGGCCACCCAATTCCATCCTAAGGAGCCTAGGAGCTATGGCTCCTCATAGAGCACCCCCATGTTAACAGATCAGTGTGCTCCGTCCCACAGGGCAGGAGAAGTTCCTGTCAACAGCAGGAAAGCAGCTGCCAGCATCAAGAAAACGTTATCACCCAGCATGATGTGAGAGGAGCTTATCTTTCTCATTCTGATCCAGACATTTGTTTTCATTCCTGGTTACTTTTCTTTCTCACTAGGTTTTACTTCATGCATATTCTATGGTTAGACTTTGGGGAACCAGGACTCAGCAAGCAGGCTGGGCTCTCAACCGAGTAAGGCCCATCCAGAGCCACAATGGCCATATGCAGAGTTTGTTAAAACCACTAACCCCTTCTTCCTCTACCAACTTTTCTTTCAACCAACAGGAAGGGGTTAGCTGCCCTCACTCCTGTCCTGTGGTTCAAGACTGCTGGGACCATAGGCTTCACCTTGCTTGGTGAACAGGGAGCACGGCCTTTGGGCCAGATGACTGTTCCCAAAGACCAAGCAGAAGGCAGTTTCCCCATCTCCCCCCAGACCATGTGCTGCAGCCTGCAGCCACAGCAAAGGAAACCGAGTCTGCCATGGTCACAGCCACCTGCTGAACCCAAGAGGAGAGCAACACAGACTGCTTCATTTCACTCAGGGTTAGGGTGATGGACAAGATCAAGAAGTTTGTGGTACAGGCAGGCCTCCCCTGACCCAACCCTCACTTGATTGCTTACTGTTCCTAAGTTCTTTTGATGGATGGGCAATCACAATTCCTGCCTCCCCAGATGAACACAACCAACACAGAATAGTTGTCGGTAAAGACCAGAAAATTTGAGGCAATGAAAACAGGTCAGATCATGGTTACTCAGCAAATGGCAGCTGCAGAACAGGGCGTGGATCTCTGGACTCCTGGCTCCTTATTCTTTCAACTAAAGCAATAACACCTGGGATGCTTAGAATCATCATGTAACAGGGTACCACCATGCTGGTACCAACTGGTTTCAGATGGAAGAGCCCCATGGTTAAGGGGCCTTCAGCTTCCCAGACACACAATTCTACTGGTCATTCTGCAGGACCTAACTCTGATTCTGACTGCAGAATCTGAGTGGCAGGAGACGAGTCTGTCTCAGTGGTGTTTTCTGTGCCTTGCATGCTGCTTGATACCCACAAATTTCCTGCAGGGCTTGACCTTAGTGGTGCTCCCTTCCATGGAAGGGATCTACTGCTTAAATCAGAGAGAAAGACGAGAATCAAGCCAAACCCCAAACAAGATGATTATTTCAGGGAGTATTGCTGTTTGAAATGCCACTCCATTTAGATTTTAAAGTGTTTGGATCACCCATGGCTTCAGGTGTGAATGAAAATTAAAAACTTGCATGAATTCATATTCACAAGAACCTACACTGTAAACGCACGGCTTCACTGAGCTCTCAGGAAAGGGCTCTGTGGGTCTTCTGAACTGGAATACAGCTGCGAGGCTGTCAATGCTACAGGGGAGGCCCACTCTGTGTGGATGCACTGACTGGAGTAGAAGAGAAAGCAGAGGCTGTCTGGCAGGCTGGGAATGGACCTCCTTGATCCCTGGGTATTACCTGGTCCTTCTCAGAAAGGAGATAGCTGAGAGTATCACCCCACAGGCCCATCTATGAGGTTAGTGATGGACTGTGGCTGATGAACATAAACATGATTCATGAATGGTGACCAGTGAGAAAAGGCAGGGAGTATTCTCGGAATACTGCCTCCCATCATGCAGGCCTCAGTGGGCAGGAGGACAGCTGGCTCCAGAATGGCAGTAGACTCCAGATGGGCAAAGATTTCCCGGGAAAGGGAGGCTGAAACAGGAGTTACAGAATCTCTTTGGTCAGGCGGTGGCAGATGAGAAGTGGTATGGAATGTGTGTGTGTGGTCATGTGTATGTTGCGTGGGAAGAGACAACATGGGTTATGAACTACAATGCCTGCAGTGTTCTGTACTGGGGGCTCCATCGAGATCAATAAGGAGTTTCCTGTAGGGCCATTCCAGGCCCCCTTCCCTTCACATCCCATTTGTCTCTCCTCAGATGCTAACACAGGACAGTCTAAAGCTCACAAGTCGCTGCTCCCCACAGGGACAGCATCAGAAACCTGACACTCAAGGCACTGAAAATGGAAGAGGAAATCTGATTGACCTGGGGGGTGGAATAAGGAGAAGACAAACCCAAACTCTGTCTGGATAAAACATTTACCATGCTACCTGCAAGGTGAATTCTAACTGGGGTGAGTCCCAGGTTGGACAGTAGCATCTGGGGTTTAGGACTTTTAACTCTATCAGAATCCAGCAGCAGGCAGGTCTCACCATTGGGATGTATATAATAGATTCAAAGTGCTTGGAGACTCAGGATAATGCAAGGTGTTAGGAGCCTGGTGGAGGAAGGCAACCCTTTCCTTTCCACGGGGACTGTATATGGTGGGGGAACCCCTACAGCTTTTCTTTCCAAATGAGGTTTTTATTGCCTTTGAAAGAAATAGCTCCATGACACCTCTGCCCTACCCTATTCTCCAAGGCTCAAGAGTTAATTCCAAGAAGTGGGACAGATAACACAACAGAAGAAAGCTCGTGTGGTTCCCACCACCGTTGGATCTGGGGACTGCCATGCAGTTCACAGTGGTCCCTTGCTGTCAACCAGGGCATCGTCCTGCCCATTCTTTGTTCACATCCAGGACACATCTGGTTGGTCCAGCTCAGAGTTGAGCAGAAAGGGAACAGCGCTACTGGGGATTTCTGGACCCCTCTGCACTAAGATAGCCACTGTGACTAGCATTTTGACCCCAACAGACCAAGGGCTGGATTTGAACTCATTGTCCCATCTGTAATCCCCTGAGATGGGAAAGATGAACATAAGTATGAATGAAGTCAAGAGAGGGACTGGTGGGCTGTCCCGCATCCCAGCTGCCTGGACTAGAGCTACCTAGGCCAAAGCCTGCCCACCTCAGCATATCTCAGTGGCCACATATGGGAGATCAGAAGAGCAGGACAAAAAGGAAATGATAAAATGTGCTCTCCTTTCCTTTCCCCTCTTCCCCTCACCACCACCTCCCTTCCCTGTGCCCAAGCTTAGGTCAGGAATGAACAAAGGTCAGTAGAGACTTCCTCCTGGAGAAGAGCTCAGCAGGCCTGGGAGACTGGGCATGCCCAGAGCACCATCCTTGGGATGGGGTGTTACTGGGAGACCTGCTCCTTATTTGTGATGGCAGGAGGAGGAAGGCTGGGTCCAAGGAAGGAGCAATGAGCATTGTCCCTGAATGTCAGGGAAGAGCTGGGAAGCCTTCTCCTCTGCCCCGCAGAGATACCCAGCCACACTCCAGCCTCTACACGTGAGTCTGCATGCGCTGTTGAAACCGCTGGCCGTAGTCTGAGTGCTGAGAGGTGTAGGAGAATCGAGTGGCTGTGGCATACTTGCCAATAGGGTCATAGGCCTCATAGGGGGTCCTCTCCAGACCAGAGGGCGGGGCCTGGGGGTAGCCTAGACGATATGTAGGATACCCGGCTGCCCCAGGGAAGGGGTGGGAGTTGAACTTCTCATAGTTCTCGTAGGACAGCTGGCTGGTTGTATCGGTGCCACCAGGAGCAGAAGGGCCAGAGGGTGGGGGCTCTGTGCCATAGTCAGAGGCAGGGGCCCGACTGTATGTATTGAGCTGGGCATAGCCACTGGAGTGGGAGAGACGGGATGATGGACGGCCATCAAAACGTGTAGGGCCAGGGGCACGGTAGTCGGCATATAGCACTGCCCTGGAGGATGGGCGATCTTCGTGGGCACGCACATTGTAATAACCATTGGTGGGATCCTGGGGGGCGGGGCGGTGAGAGAAGAGGATAAAAGTGGGGGTCTCCTCCAGTGTAATAAGATCTCAAATGGTCTTCTGTCCACGCCTGCCCACCCCAACCCATGCTCTTCTCTTCTCCCCTAGCATCTCTCTATCTCCTGTTCCTTCTGCAGACCTCTTGACCATGCCTCCCTGGCTGTCCTCACCCCCACCCCCACCCGGCCAAGCAGACCCTCCTATCCCATTTCCCAAGGGCCTTGCTTCAATCCCTTTTCCCACCTTCATCTCATACTCTTCCCGGGTGTCAATGGTGTCACAGCGCAGGTCCTGCTTCAGATCCACGTCATCCTTAAAGGACTAAAGAACAGAGTGGGTGTCAGGGGACAGACACAGCTTTTACCCCCTCCCCCTTTGCTGATTCCATGCCCAGAGGCCACCTGCTAAAGGAAGCTCTGGGTTAGGGCAGATTTGTGTTTCGTGTATAGGCTGAGGTAGGAGGACACCTGAGATCTGGCTTCTAGCATTCATTTTGTTGCTGACGTGGAATATGATATCTTGAGTACGCCCTTGCTACTGTTGGGGAGCAAATCTCAGTAACAACGAGGTCGAACCAAAACTATCTACAGATTCTCTCTGTGTGAGGGAAGGCTGAGGCAAAGGGACCTGGAGGGGAGGAGAGAGTAGCTTTGCACATGTGTGAAAGGGGACTAACCAAAGTACATGTGTAAGTAAGTGTGACTACTGGTGAGCAGGTTGGTACATAGGACTTGGGGTGGCAGGAACAGATTAAACTCACTGCAGAAGAAGGGGTGACAGGAGCTATTAAAAACCGGTGGAGCTGGCCTTAGCACTGTGAAGAGCCTAGGCCAGTGAGAAGCGTGATCCTCACCGAGTAGATGGCCTTCATGACCCGAGTTGCAGTGGATATACTGGCGGTATCATCCTCCCGGTCAGAATGCATTGTGAGTGGCTCCCGATTCACCGTCTCTACCTTGATGTCCAGCTTCCTCAAGGTCACATCCTTTCGACCTAAGACAGAGAGGTAGAGTTGGGTCGGGTGCTTCCTACTAGTCTCTGCTGCATTGGCTTCTAGCCCCCACCCCTTGATGTGACCCTGAAGGGTAAGGTTGCGGGATGAAGGGTTTGTTGTGGCTGCACAGCGCCTGTACTCACTGCCTTTGCGGCGCCGGTAGAGGAAGAATACTAAGGCAACAAAGAAGAAGATGACCAGGATGCCTGCACCAATGGTGGCCCCAGCAATGATGCCCACAGGTAACACTTCTATAAATAAGGGGAGGAAGAGGAGTGAGGATGGACCTGAAGACTTGGCCACAAGATACAGTGACAACTCTAGATATGTACAAAGCTGAGTTTTGCCTGAGCTGGGCCGTGTGGCTATCTAGGTCCAGGCCACACTGGAGAAGATCTGCGCTGAGCTTGGAATGAGATCTGTGCTTTCTCTTGACCAGGGTTGATGTCAGGGCAGAGTTCCATCCCTGCCATCAGTTTGCCTCAGAGCTTTTTTCCCCCTCTATTTGACCCACCTACCCATGAAGCTTGGTCCCTGCTTCCTGAGCTGGGCTTTTGTCTGAAGTCAGCTCTCTCCAAATTCCAGTCTGCCATGTCTGTTTCAACCTCCTCTATGACATTTCTTGCCTGCAAAACCACTCCATCTGCATGGCCCACTTTAATGCCCCTGCCTCTCTTAGCTGGTAACAAGCCCAAGAATTCTTCCTTTGGCCTTCTCTCTCTTTCTGGAATTACTAGTTGGATCCAGACTCTGGCTATGGCTCTGCCCCTGTAAGATCCTTCCCACATTACCCTTCTCCATTTCTCATACCCTCTCTGCAGGTATCTTTAACTAACCCTGAACTATGGACTTTCCCAGACATTTCCCAAGGGTCCCTCAGGTTCCCTATAGCTCCCTTTTCAATGACTAGTTCTCAAAAACAAATGCTATTTTTCCTTCACCAAACATCTCTGTTAAAGTTTAGATGCTTCCTTCATCTTGCCAAAGGTACCTGGAGAGAATACGTCTCTTCTATAAAACCAAGACTGCTTGAAGGGGTAGGGGAACCTCTGAATTTTACAAATATCCCCCATTCAATCCTCTCAGCAACTCAGCGGCATAGGTAGTGTTAATCTGTTACACACAGCGTTTACTTTTTCCCTGTATAAATTAATTTGTTTCTACTAAGTTTTCCCACTAAGGTGGAAGTTTCTTGTGGGCTGAGATGATGCCGTGTTCACACCTGCAACCCTTCCTTCAGAGCTGACATGTAAAGATGTTCAAGGAACATTTCTGTAGCTGATTAATTAGTTGAGCACTAAAGTCAGCTTCTGGCAGAGAGGCCAGAGAGAGAGAAGATGAAACTTCAGGCTATCCTGAGTGGTCCATGTGGCTGACCTCGTTCTTCTAGCTGGATGATGGCAGTGCCTGGCCCGAAACTGTTCCAGGCAGTGCAGTTGTAGTGGGTCTGGAAGTCAGCCTCCATGACGTTGTTGATGGTGAGTGTGGACAGCACACCACTTCCTGAGTTGGTCCTCTCCACGGTGTAACGTTCCAGGGTCCCCACCTCCAGGAAGTTCTCCTTCCACGCCCATGCCTGGTGTGGGGAAGGCATGGTGAACGGAAGAAAAGCGCACATATAAGACGCACATGCTACACTCTTAGGTAGCCTTACCCCAGCACATGCGCTGTCCCCAGGCCCGACAAACCTTCACCTCGAACAACCTGTGTCACACCAACTGCCACAAATCCTTGACACTGAACTTCCACTCCAGCTCCAGAGGCTGTGGCTCCCACACAATAGACATGAGATTTCTCTAGAGAGACTTTAAAAACTACTACCTTGAGACTTATGCTCCAAGTGTGAATATAGGGGAGAGATGCAGGAACCGACCTCTGCTGTGGTCCCATGCTGTAAGTCTGACACTGTGGTATTTTGTGATGTGGAGGCAGCTAGTGAACCAATATTTGGATCTTGGGTATTTCAGGGAGTTTAGTTCCTATACCTCCCACTCCAGACCAGCTGTGTGGTCATGTTTTCCCTGACTAGTCTATCTTACCAGCCTCACCATTAATCAACCCACAGAAACCTGCTTGGCTCTCTGGAGATGCATCTGGCTGCTCTTAATTATGAGCAGGGAGTCAAGAGGGGTGTCCCCCAGGCCCTCCATCCCTGACCGCCCCAGCCGCGGCATTCCCAACTGTGTGTGCTCGTGGCAGAGGGGAGGCTAAGGCAGAAGAGCAGCTGAGTGCTGGCTCCTTTCCAGGCATCAGCCCTCCCAGCTCTATGAGGCAAACCTCCTGGGAGCCAAACCGTCTTCTGCCTAGGCAGCTGTGGTAATGAAGTATCCCTGGGCAGCCCTGGAGTTAGCCAAATGGTCATTAAATGTGATGAGGGTTTTGATGGTTAGTGGCCACAGGAGGAATTAATTGTTTATGGTACAGGGGAGTGAAGAAAAGATCAAGGAATGGTCAGGGACTGGTGGAAGGCAAACAGGAAGACTGACAAGAGAGTGGGGACAGATGGGAGGGAGAAGTGATGGGGAGGGCTGCTAGAAGGAGGGAAGAGGGGAGGGGAAGGCACAAAGTAAAACTGGAGGAGGTATAGTCAGGGTGGAAGATGAGGGAAGACAGAGAAAGGACCTTCACCAGGAACGAGAGGAACCTACTGGCCCCCGACTCCAAGGAACTTGGTTCTTTACAACGGCGGCTGGAATGACTTATATATAGGGACACGGGCTCCCCTTCGAGGATGAGGGACTGAGGTCCAAAACACTGATCTGTTCAGGGCCACACAAGTAAGGGAGGAGGTAGAATGTGAACAGGTAAAATGATACAGAAACTAAAAAGTCAGAGGATTGCAAGACCAGAGAAGGGTGGGGAGATGGAAGCTGCAGGCCAGAAGAGGAGAGGGAAGCAGGACAGGTGTGACACCCCAGGGCTGCCAGTCAAGCTTGACCAGCACTCACAATCCGATCCGGAGGTGGGGTACTCCCGATGAAGCACTCCACTTTGCCACCGTCACCCCGCACAGCAAACTGCACTGCCTCGCTTGAGATAATAGGGGGTCCTACAGGCAGGAAGACACAGTCAGGCCAGGCAGGAGTTTTAATGCTTGTCCCCCAGGTCTCACCCACCCAGGGCACTCACCATTTACATAAAGTGGTACCTCTCGCTCAGCTACTCCGATTCGGGGCACGATGGCCCGGCAGGTGTAGGTGCCAGCATCTGCCTGGGTCACTGACTTCAGCAACAGCTGATTGCTGTTACTCAGGACCTGGGCAGAGAGATTAGCCTCGGGTGGGGAGCCAGGACGCCTGGGCCCCTAGGTCGGTGAGGGCCCCGCATCAGAGGCATGGGAAAGAAAGCACGAAGGGTCACAAGTGAATTCCCAGAAGGTAAATGGATTCCTGAGTCTGGTTGATCCATCCCCTGACTCTAAGCATGCTGACAATAAGGGCACCATTTGTACAAGAGTGGGCAGATGCTGGCTACAGCAAATGTAAAAGAATACAGTCCTTTCTGATGATCTGTTCCCATGCTTGTATTACTAAGCCAGGTAAGACAGTCTATTCTGAAATTCCTCTTTACAATTCTAGCTGGGGCTGTCTAATACAATACGAGTCTTCGGAACTGTATACTTCACCACCGCCCTGTGCACCATCAATGCACCGGACCCCCCCCCCCACTACTGCAGGTACCACCTGCTCCCTTCATCCTCTTCAACCAAAGTCCAAGAGGGAACAGCTCGGTTGCAAGTGTTCCCTTTTCTCCCAAACCCCAAGACCCTAGACGTGCTTCAATTTGGATCTGACAAAACAATTCTGAGCCTTCCCTCTGTCTTCACTGCACCTCGATGGCTGTGTCCCTTCCTCCCAGCACTCAGCACGGGCAGGGAGAGGTTTACCATGTTTGAGTCCTTCTTGGTCCAGGTGAGGGTGAGGGGGGGATTCCCAACCCAGACACAGGTGAGGGTCACGTCAGAGCCAATGTCTGTGGTTGTGGGCTTTGGGTCAACCACAATCCGGGGCGCGACTGAAGGAGAGAGAAGTGGCTGGTTAGAGTCGCAAGGACCTGCGAGTCGACGGCAATCTGCCCCTTTCCTTCTGTTCTTGTCCACTCCCTCCCCGGGATGACTCCTGTCTCTCCAGTTCGGTGGGGCTCCCCACCCCCCTTTGAAGGCCCTGCTCTGTCCCCGCCCCGGCCTTCCAGCTACTCACAGTGAACATTCACTAAAGTGCTGACGTTGGTGCTCCCCACTTTGTTGTGGACCTCACAAGACACGGGCTCCGTGAAGAAGGAATAATCAACATTTGTCTCATAGCGACTCTCGTGGGCGTCTTCAATCAAGAACCCCCCTTTGGCCCACCTAGAGGATGAGGCGTCACAGACGTGAGACCAGCACTTGGGACTCTTTCGACTACACTCAGGGACAGTGGCCTCCCCGGTGACTCCACCACCGCCGCCACACCAGTCTCAAGGGCCCTCTATCACTGGCATGCACCCCCAAACCCTTCACCTGTAGCCCAAGATCTCAGGGTTGGCTGTGGCCTGGCAGGTAAAGATGACTCGCTCGCCCTCCTGCACTGTCTGGGGCTCAATGGACAGAGTCACTGTAGGAGGATCTGCAAAGTAGGAGAGAGGAAGTCAAGGTCCTTTCTGTCCTGTGTTTCTCTCTTTCCCTCTGTAATAGATGTACTCATACCACTTTGATGTGAAATGAGGATTCAAGTTTACAAAACATCAGGTATCACCCTCTTTCTAATAGTCTTTCCAAGGGCTCTGGCCAAGAATGATAACCGTGGAAACCAATTATTCAACAGATGTAATGGCTCAATATTGCCACTAGGTGCCACTGTGGGTTAGTTTAGGTTATGGTAAGGGATAGACTAAGGGCATCTGGGACTAGAAGGGATGCATGGAACATCTGCCAGGAAGGCATGCTCTAGCCATGCTAGATGCTCTTCTGCTATAACTTCTTTAACACTCACAGCCTCAGTAAGCAGAATGTTACTCTACTCAGTGTTCCACGTACCACTCATTATTGTCCGTGGATCAAACAGGGAACTAAGGTGAAAGCATTGGTCCTGGGCTTCTAGGATTCTCATTCTGTGCTTCTAAAACTGCCTGTGTTCTGCCCCCGCCCCCCAGTACCCTCCCTACCCACTACTACTCACGGTGTACATCAAGCTCAATGGACGTCTCCTTGCCATTGGGGATGGCCTCATTCATGCTTCGACAGGTGAATACACGGCCGATGTCTAGGTCTGTGGGGTGAATGAGCAGCTGGCTGATTGTAGTCTCCCGTTTCCCATCCTTCAGCAGTTCCTGGGCAGAGGGGAAGACAGAGTCAAGACTAAAGCCCTCTCCTCTGCCCTCAGAGAAGACAACTGAAGGATAGACATTTGTAGTGCAGCTCCTTCCCGTTCCAACGTCTTCACATGTTAAAGAAGTAGTTTATTTTAAACAGCTCTCTGAAATTTACTGGAAAATCGAACAGGAAGTAGTTTCCCTCTCAACCACGGCATCCCTCATTATTACATCTTACAATAGTGTGGAAAACTCATTATAACAGACACATCAATATTGATATCTTGCTACTAACGGGATTGTGTGGTGCACATGAACATTCAATCTCTGCAGTGTAATTTCCCTCTATGCAACCGAGCCTTATTCCTGGAATTCTCTAAGCACACTGTTAAGTTCTTCCTCTTCTAGAAAGCCTTCCCAGGCCAGCCCAGACCTCTGGGCTCTCTCCTGCATGAACTGGCACCGTTTACAGTTAGTGTCTTACATCTGGCCTTAGGCACCGTATGTTACAGTGGTGACACTAAGTGCAGGGCCAGATTCGCCAGCTCAAATACTCACTGGCTCAGTGACATGCCCAGCTGTTTCCTATATTGTCACCTTCCTGAGGAAACCACACGATGGACAAGAACAAGGCCTCTCATTCAGACAGCCATGCATGCATCTTTATAGGACCAATGCACCACCCAACTGATGCAAAACACAGGGATATTTTGGAGCTCCATAGTTGTAAGTGGAAAAGCAAAGGAGACGAGCAGGCAACAAATGGTGTTAACAAATGACCTTGTCTGGCTGCCGAGATAATTTAAAAGATGTAGCCCTTCCCCCCAGAAGGAAAACAACAGGTTTGGTGGTAAAAATGCTAGGCCCCATTGGGGCCAAATAATCATTTATCAAATGGTGGTACTGAGTCCATGAAGGAGAGATTTGCCCAAGGCTACAGAGGTCACTAAGAGCTAAAGCCAGAACCCAAGCTCTGCCTCCTCACACTCCAGGAACACGGGGCAGTTTCTCTCCCCACTGGCACAGGGCTAGGTGTACATGCTGGCCACACTGGCAGAATGGATGGAATGTTCCTCAAGTGCAAGTTCTGGGTTCCACCGCCGTCAGCTCTGCCATGTGATTCCGGGTAAGTCACTTGATGCCTTTCACTGTCCTGCCTTCCCCATCTGAGAATGTGCACAACAACCTGGCTTGCACAGCTCTTAGCTGTGCTGAAGGAAGAGGGCTAAAGAGATCAACAGGGCAGCCAGGCTCGGGTTCAGAATGCCAACTCTGCTGCTTACTCTCTGTGTGACTTTGGGCCAGGCATTCGACTTCTCTGACCATTACTTTCTCCCTTTGTAAGTTGGATGTAATGCCTACTTTATGGGACTCTACTGAGGTTGAGGAGAAACTGCCCACAAAGTAGCTAGCACACAGGAAGTACTTATAGAATGGCACAGTGACCCTGGAGTCCGTTCCCTTTAGGAAAGGAAAGATAACCTGGAGCTGGGTCTAAGAGAGGTCAGGGAAGAAGGCAGGTTCTCACCGTGCTAGCCACAGCCCCCTCCTGCTGTGTCCCATCCCGGAACCAAATGATGGTGGCAGCAGGCTTGGCATTAAAGGCTCTGCATGTGAGGTTGTGGGGGGTGCCTGCTTGCAGCAGAATCACAGGACCCCCATCAATCCTTGTGTCCTCTGGAGGAACTGGAGGGAAGAGGAGAACAAAATCAGCTCAGGATGCAGCCAACTGTGCCCCCTGCCACGGAGGTGCCCTTCCATCTGTATGGGTCCCTCTAAGCCGGGCAATGCTACTCTAGCCCAACTTACAGTCACTTATACAGTGCTTCCGAGGAGGCGTCACTCAGCCCACAAGCTTTCTCAGCCCGCCAGCTGCTCTTTCGTAGTCACTATTATTGTCTGATACTGTACTCACCACTGCTGCTCAGGGGTACTTACTTCGATGGAAGGCTATCTCAGATCACGCCCCAGGGAAGGAGGGCATCTTTCACAGGATCCCTTACATCTATCCCTTCCATCTGCTTCTCTGCCTGGAATGGCCAGATGGGCAACTCTATCATTACACCTTTAGCAGGTTATTTTCTCCATAGCAGTTAATACTGTGCTGTTCTGCTTAGACAGTTCTCTGTGGGATGAATTCCTTCAGTCTCCTGTTTTAGGGTCCACAAGCCACACCCGCAGGCCCTTACCCCTTTGCTACTACAGCTCTCTCAGAGCAGCTGTGGAGAAGTTACCACCCCGGTCAAATCCCGGGTGATGCGGAGAGCTCCGTGTGGCAGTTCTCAGCTCTGAGTGTCGTCTGCCCAGTGGTTACTGTTGGTGACTGTCTCTCCCTGCCTCAATCTTCTTGGAAAAAGCAGGTCTCGGTCTCTCACTGGCATTTAAAAATAGTCTTCACTGCCTAATGAGCAGCTAAAACAGGCCTTTGCTATGTGCTTAGGGAACTGAGTTAGCTGCTATACATCTGGTTTTAAGAAATAAGGTACTTTCCCTTATACCACAGCCACAGGCTTCTAAATGTTAAGGTGAGCCAGATCCTGAGTTCCTCAAGGCCAAGGGGCTAAGTTCCCCGAGGACAGAAGTTCTTCTTTTTTAAAACAAAATATTTGTTTACTTAAGACTTACTATGCAGTCTAGGCTGGCACTGAATCCATGATTCCCTCACCTCTACCTCCCAAGCGTAGGGGATTAGAGGCTTGTTACATTGTCTCCATTTCTTCCTATTAACTGTTACACCAGTAGTGTCTAGTCAGCAGGCTGAACAGCAAGCCCTTAGCTATTGGCTGAACTGGACATTGAGGGGATAAAGGCAGAAAGATTTTTGATAATCATCTATGTCCACTCCACCATCAATAGACAGAAATGAGCAAGGATTTGATTTTCTTTCTTTCTGGGAAGAGGAAACTTGTAGAGAAGACCGTGGTGGGGAGACCTTCACGGGGAGACCTTGGGAGGTCCATGGAGCTGGAGGCAGACAGGGCTGTCAGGGCGTGGGAGAATGAAGGTCTGTGCTGGAGGTGCAGTTGCTGACACAGCTTTCTGTTCGATTTGTGCGTGTGAAGTGGCGGAGTGCAGAAGGGATGGAATTTAGATCAGTGTCCTTCAAGTCCTGCCGCCTTCCTTTACTGTCCCGTGGTCTCGGTTGAGCCCTGAAAGGCGCCGAGTCTCTTTCTCCCTCAGAGACCTAACGAAGTCCCTTCACCGAGCCTGTGTGTGAGGTCTGTGTGGGGCTGCACACCGGCAGGGTACTCGTGATGTGTAAAATGTACCACTTTTACTGTGATGAAAGGGCTCTGCTTCTGCCCACCTAATTACTCTCTCAATCCTGGTTCTCCCACCCCTTCCCTGCTCGCTGGGATATACAATCCCATTCATAGGGCAGGGTGTGGTTATAAGTGGGAGAAACCTGAGAATTAAAGAAATGTGGAGGGAGGGTCTTCCGCTCTTCCCGGCCCTCTACAGTTGTACCTTCCCGCCACACTGTTGAACTGAGCCTCTAGATGCCCAGGATGTTGGGTCCCTGCTACAAGGAGAGCAAAGCATTTCTTCCCACTGGTCTTTCTGCCTTTGTCATGTTTCTGTCCCCTCCACGCAGGCAAAGACCATCTGTCACCAACCCACATTTCTCTAGAATTTCTCAAAGTCTTTGAAGCCAACTGTCAATTGTAAACCATAAACCAATTGACAGCAATTTCTACCATTTCCCCAAAGTGAACCGCCTGTTCACTAAAGCACCTGTACATATGACTTCATTTAATCCTCAATATAAAATATTAAATCTCAGGAAGAAGGAAGGAGAAAAGGAAGGAAGGAAGGGCAGGTTGGTAGCCTGATGATGTCAGTGATAAGGATCCCAGTACAAAAATGACCAAGGCACAACCTGAACCCAGGCCTTTGAACTCTCAGCAGCCTAGAGCTCTTTCCATTGCTAGGAGCCCCCCCTCCCCCCTCCCCCACATAGGAAGGAGTTTGGGAGACAGACTCACTTATCTTAGTTCCCTTCTCCCCACTTCAATGGCTTCATTTTGGAGGGAGGGCAAGGATGAGAGGTGGCAGCCAGAGGAAAGGGAAAGGGAGCCAGAGCTGGGGGCTTAAGACCTGAAGGTGGGCACTGCTGGCTTCACTTGTTCTGGTGGAGGGCAGTCTTCTCATTGCTCAGATGGCCCAAGGATGCCACAGCGACATCTACTCTGTCCCCCTCTGGGTTTCTGTGGGGAGCTCAGCCATCACGCCACTCAGGCTGCAGACAGTCTCACCCCTGGGTCCAGCCCCCCAAGCTCATGCTGAGGAAAGGGACAGCCAGGCAGGGAGAAGGTCTGGGGTTCAGGGGCAGCAGGGTGATGGAGAGGAACAAGGAAAGGTCCCTAAACAATCAGGAAAAGTGTGGGCTGTGCCTCCTTCACCATATCCTCAGTGCAGAGGGCCCTGACTCCACAGCTGTATTTCACATAAAGCTCTGGGTTCCTAGTGTGATCTGGACAGAGGTGGGAGCAAAGGGTATCAGTCTTACAGAGACCATAATGCACAGTGAAGGCTGGCACAGCTCAGCCGCCTGGGACTCTTTACCTGATTTTAGTTTTTTTAAAAAAAGTATAATTTATATCGTGGGGGGAGGGGATGTGCACATGTGTGAATGAGTGTGTCTATAAACACACCTGCTTGTCTGTGTATCACACACGTGCATGTGGCTACAGAAGCCAAAAGAAGGCATTAGATTCCCCTGGAACTAGAGTTATCAGTGGTTGTAAACCACCAGATGTGGGTGCCAGGTACTGAACCCAGATCTTCTGCAAAAATAGCAAATGCTCTTGAGGACTGAGCCACCTTTCTAGTTCCACTCACTTAGTTTCTGAAGTTCAGGTAAGTAGTTGTTGCCAGAGAACCAGGGAGAGTAGACACAGTAGGGGGAAAGGTGAGACCAGGAAGAGAGGAAAAGGTTGGGACATAGAAGAGGGAACTGGAGAGGAGAGGGGAGAAACAGCTTGGGAGTCATTACTGAGCACGGTGAGCTTGGCCCGCCGAGAGCGCAGGGCAGCCTCTGTGGCCTGGCACTCATAGGAAGCATCGTCAGAGAGCTCGGCATCTGTGATCTCCAAGTTGTATTGTCCAGCATCGGCAGAGCCCACGACCCTGTACCGTGGCCAGGCTGCAAAGACAGAATGGGGAAGATCAGAATGAGACCCAGTCTTGAGGCCTGGACCATGCCATCTTCCAGCCAGGGCTCATCATCTTCTCAGATCAGATCCTCCCCAAAGCAGAAGCTGCATCCATTCCAGGCCAGCTCTCCCCACTCTGCTCTCTCCTGGGCACCACTGGCAGGCGAGACTATGAAGCACCTGGCACAGATTCCATAACCTTAGGACTATAAAGCAGGAGGGGATGGTGAGGAATAAAGACAGAGGGGGGGGGGGAGCAGATGAAATCTCCATAGCTGTTTGCAGGTAAATGTCTCTCATGATGACAGCAAAGGGAGAGGAAGAAAAGAACGGGCAAGCAGGCAGGAGAGCGGAGAGAAGACAGCGTGTGGGCACTGGTAAGTGCGGCCATCTCAGCAATTACCGGGCACCTCTGTGTGGCTCACAAGGCCTCATCCCCACTCACCACCGCTGTGGAAGGAGAATGAGCAAGGTTTGCTGGATCCTCCAAGGAGGACCCAGATGAGATTTCTACTTCCCTTCAAAAGACACAAGGAGGGCCTCTGCATCTAGTCTGCCTCGCAGTAACTCCCACTCACACACCTGCCATCTCCTTCCCACTGCCCTCTCCCTCCTGCCATTCCCCGTCAACCCCCCCCCCCTGCCTCAGAGGCTATGGATCCTTCTGACTGCATATCTATTGACCTCAATCTCTCTTATCTTCTCGCTCATCAACAATAGATCCATCAAATTCATGTCTTTCCTTTATAGATTGTGCCGTGCAGATTCCCTCAACCTAGACCCACAGCAAATAATCTCACCACCCTCAAAAATAACAAGAGCAGAAGTGTGCAGTCCCCCACCCACTTGCATCATCGGGGCGTTTCATAGCTAACAACGTTATCTCACAAAGCACAGCCCGCTATGTGGTGCAAAAACCAAGGGCACACTTCTAAGGCAGATGGCTGAGACTGTTAAACCCGCTTCACAAATCAGCTAACCAAGGCAAGGACAGCAAGGCAAAGTGGTTTCCCTCGAGTCATTCAGTGGGCAAGTGGCCGAGGTGTAAGGAGAGCCAGGTGTCTTGACTCTTTATCTCTGTGTTAGGGGTTTCGTCACTGGTTGAATCTTTATGTTTTCTTCCGCACTGGTTACATAGCCTTTGCTTAACAAATGTGTATGGAATTATTAAACAAGAAAGGCTGATGTTAAAAGCAAAAGGTTGGACTCTAAGCAGACGTGGACTACGTAGAGGGAAGAGAAAAGCATGAAGTACTCAAAGGGCAGACAGAAGGGAGACCTGGGGTAATTAAGATTTCAAAAATAGAATAAGAGAAAGGGTAGACGGCTCCCGAGTGTACCACCCACGTGGCGTGGGGTGGGCTTTGCTGCTTGACCTGACTGCAGCACCCCATGGTATCTCCCCGACTTGTCTACAGCTCTCAATGTAAAGGTCTGTTTCTCTTGGTCCCCCAGTCTGCACACCACCTTTCTTGAGCCAATCCACAATCTGAGGAAGGAGAGAGGTGCAGGGTAAAAGTGTGAACAGGCAGAAGTTGTGAACAGAAGAAAGGATGGGTAGCAAAATCCAGGGATCCAGGCTGAGAGTAGGGACTAGGATTTCCGGATGCTGGGTGATTGAGCAGCCGCGCACACACACTTCTTTTTTCCTACTGTGGTGTGGCTCAAACTCCAGGCCTTGTACACGTTAGCATGCAATCTGATAAAGGTACAGTCCCAGCCCAGCACTCACCTTTGAGGCCCTGGCCCATGCCCAGAGCCAGGCCGTCCTTTGTCCATTGTACAATTCCAGAGTAGTTGAGGAGCACACATGGCAACACGGCCCGCTGTCCAGCCACCACGGTCTGATCAGCTGGCTCCTGGCTGAAGCGAGTCTGGGTCCCAGGCAAAGCGAAAACTAGCAGTGGGTAAGAAGAGGCGTGAGGAGGGCTCCATCAAGGCCCTTTGCAGGGTTCCACTCTTATCCTACAACCCAGGCCATGCCTTACCCCACAGGGTACCACATGCTCTCTTTACTTCAGTCTCCCTTTCAGGGCCCCAGGGACAGGTCTAAGGTTCTGGAGGGCTTAGAGATCACTTACCCAATGACCACCCACTGCACCCACTGAATGAACAGCAGAGCTAGGGTTAGACTCAAGCCCTTGCTATCTGGGTCCAAGGCTTTTTCTTTTGTTTGTTTGTTTGTTTGTTTGTTTTTTGCAACCTCTTCTGCATCTGAGCCTCCCCTTATACTCTCAGACTCTTGGGTGATGCGTTCATAACAAAGGTGACTGTTATGCCACAATCCCTTCCTTCCCACGTAGTGTAGACAATCGAGCACATAGACAATTCCAAGGTGGTAGTATATCCAAAGCCAAACAGCCCTGAACGCACTTCTTGGCTTCTTGGCACACTGGCTCTGTTCCATGTGTTTACCCTTGACCCGAGGGCTGAAACACAGAGATGCACACACCAATTCATCTGCACGCACACAGCCTCTTGCATCACGGGAGCTGAGACAGTGTGGGACTTTGTTCTCTTCTCCCTCCAGCTTCAGGAGCTACACATGGCTGCCTGGCTGGCAGCTTGGCCGGGAGCATTTGATTAGAGAACTGCAGAGTAATTGCCTTTAATTGTGGAGCCTAAATGGAGTAGGGAATTGGATTGCAGATTTCTTCTCTCTTGCTCCCACCAGCAAGCTTTGCTTCATCACTGGCTGGTCCCAGTGGTGGGGCAGGCCTGCACACTGTGAACAGCATGAAATGGGCGTTAGCCTCCTGCACTGGGCTCCAGGCAAGGAGAGGGACTGAAGAGGGGTCAGCAAAGGGTTAAATCTGAGGCTTCCTTGCCAGAGCTCCAACAGGTCACACCAGGCCACCGAAATAAGCTCTCTTCAACCTTCAGACTCCTGGCTCACCCTTTCCTCCAGCACACTGAGTCTATAGAAGTCACAACACCCCCTCCCCGATCCAGTTCCTTCCAGACCCAACTTCCCAATTCATCCTCCTACTGTCAAGACCTCCCTTTCACTCAGTGTCTAGGCCTCTCCCTTCTTACTCTGGGGTCAGACGCAGGGCAACACTCCAGCCCCGAGTCCCTAGTCCACCCACTCCTTTCTTCCGTCCAGTTCCACTGCTCCCCTTCTTTCCAAATTTGTTTCTCCATTCTCCATTCAGGGGAACCTCCTAGGCCGGTTCCAGAGTCCCTTGTATAAGCACAGGCTGTCCCATCACTCAGTCTTGCGGTGGCAGCTCTAGCTACAGGATTTTCCTGCCCAGAGCTGTCAGGGATCATGCCCGTGTCTTTGTCATCCGGAGATGGAAGGCAGCTTGCTGGTGGAAGTGTCTGCCCTGAGAATGGAACCTCTCTCTCTCACAGCACTAAGCATGGAGCTCTCTCCTCTTTCTGGGTCTCCTGGGATCTGGCAGTCAGACTATGACACAGGTTAAATGTGAGTGCCACCATGCAGCTCTTTGGATCTGGAGGTGGGGAAACAGCTATCTGTTTTTTTTTTTTTTTGTAAGTGGCTCCCCAACTCTGCAGACCCGATTCCCCAGCCTGTCTCTTAAAGAAGAAAAGGATGGCAGGTGCTGAGATCCTGCAGGAAGGATTGGTCAGGTGAGCAGCCAGTGTTATTAATTCAAGCATTTGCGCTCATTATTATTTAAATTTATTCATACCCTTGCATGTTCTTCAGTGCAGCTATGTGCAGCAAACTCTGTTTCTCTTCCTCGAGGCCCCTAGAGCCCAAGTCAAGGACTTGTGATGGGGTGGCCTACGAGCTTACATCAGAGCCTGGATCGATAGTCATAGCTTTTCTACACGAAGCCCAAGGGCTGACCTCTTCTTGGTATCGGAGGACAGTGGGCATCTGGCTGCATGTTTAGTTGCAATGGGGAGCTGAATGACCCTGCAGTGGGATGGCAATGGGGTGCACCTGAAGTCAGAGACAAGGGTCTTGCTGGAGTGAGCTCATTGTAAGACGACAAGTCTGGAATAGACTGCCAAAGAGCCTTTCTGCTCCAATACTAGGAGAATTGGCTTAGGGGAAGACTAAAGTTTCCATGGTCCCTCTGCAACTCTTCCTAACTGGTGGCTCTGGCCACGTTACCCTGCAAATTGCATTTTCTTACTTGGGAATGATATGCCTACTTCCTGGACTGTTGTGAAGCCAAATGTGGTGAGGTGGATGCTAGGCCTATCAAAGTCCTTTGCATGTACCTACTAAATAGCTATGATGCCTGAGCAGTTAGACAACTAGAGGTACACATCGGGGACACTTTCAGGAACCTAAGAATAAGTGACAAAAGGGTACTGTATCATATTTTCTGTGAATTTTGAAGTAAAATAAATTTTGATTTAGCCCAAGCTAAAGTAATTTGGTCTAGAAACAGAATGGAAGTAATGATGGGCGGGCCCGACGATGAAGGAAGTGAGGGGCTCTCTGAATTTGAATTCATGGGAAGATCACTTTCTGTACCAAAGTCCCAAGCAGTATTCCATGTTCCCAAATAGCCCTGCAGCCAAGACAGCACATGAGAGAGACTAGAAGCCATGGGTGACACTTAAGTCAACTCAGGATTAGGAAAAACTCAGTCTGATCTGACTGAGTTCCATTCTCTAAACTCTATATAAGCTGGGTATAGGTCACCCTTCCGGTTCTCACACAGGTCTCCGCAAAACGGCACCCCTTCTTTGGGATTCAGATAGTCACCTCTTCCGGGATGTCTTCCACGGCTCTTCTGCACTGCCTATCTATTGACCTCTTTTTTTCTGCCATGGGAAGGACCACACTGCCCACCTATCTCAGCACAGCGTTTTGAGTCTGGACTGTGTCACTCACAGCCCTAAGCCACCATCACTTGGCACCAGTGCCTGACTGCCAGGCATACAGGGGTTCTAAGCAAGTCTGTTAATGGCTGGATTATCAGCAGCTAATACCCAAGTCCAACCTTGTGAAACTTGTTCAGGAGAAGGCGAAGCCCTGCTCTCTCCCCGCACCCTGCCCCATCTAAGTGAGACTGAGACCGGTAAGAGGTGGGAGGAATAGAGTGCTCTCTCCTGTGAGAGGGGGGACCCTGAAAAATGGGGCTGGGAAGGGTAACGCTCAGTCTAGACGGTTCTGATGCAGACGATGAGGGGAAGTGGGGCAGTAGAGGAGAATGCCAGGAAAGCTTTGAGCAGGAAGGGTAGAAGTGCTTTGTGTTCCTAGTTAGTGAGGAGACATAGCTATTGGTAAGTCTTGTAGTGTCAAGAAGGTGCCAGTAACCTAGAACATGCGACCTAGCAAGGGGTCACTCAAGTATGTCTCCGACGTCCTGCGTACCTGTGCTTCCAGCTAAGCTTAGGGGAGCCGGCTCTGAACTGAGAGGGAAAACAATCTCAGTCCCATCCTTATGTCTGGGCACATGTCCTCATCCACATCCACAAACAGAAGCAGCACAATATAGCAATGCAGAGAAAGAACCAGAAAGGGCCTGGCCACAGACAGGCGAGCACAGACCTGCTGCAGCATCAACTCACAGCCTCACACTTCTGGTGGGGTTTTAAAGTGAATTCCCACTTTGATCCTGCTCCCTCCCAATCTTCAGTCTCCATCATAGGTGAGGCGAGACAGCCACAATGAAGACAGACAGACAGACAGACAGACAGACAGACAGACACACACACACACACACACACACACACACACACACACACATGCACACACATACCCCAGGGTACGTTAACAGAGGCACTGAGACAAACACTGAGAAACAGAGCCAAAGACAGATATCCACACAAAGGAGGAAGAGAAAGTAGCAAGGAAAGACTCTTTAGACAAAAATGTCTGTAGAGTCCTAAAGGGACCAAGGTAGAAGGGAAGACAGCAGAGAGCTACAGATCAAGAGAGATCAAAAGCAGAGAGGCCGGAGGCCTGCGAGAGGTTGGCTCAGCCTTTCCTTCAGAATGAGTTACCTAGTAAGTACCCACTGTCTGAGCAACCTTTTCTTTCCTATCTCCACTGGGATTTCTTGAGACTCAGCTGGGGTTTTCCTTCAGGGCAACAGTGAGCAGGGTGAAGAGATTCACACTGGAGAGGTAAGAGGACCCTGGTAGAGCTTGGGAGGGCAGCAGGAACACTGCAGAGCTCTGAGATCCCTGCTAGCCTAAAGAGTATGGGAGCTGGAGAACCCTGACCCCCTGCCATCATCGCTCTGCCTTGCTCCCAGATTGCCTTCCTTCCAAGTTCACTGTCAACCCTTAGCGCCACTTCTAGCTACAAAGCTCTTCCAGCCTCAGACTCAAAATGGTTCCTTCCTTTATTCTCCCAGTGTTGTCTGGGCTTCTGGTTAGAGCACACAGCACAACCTGCCTTGGATTAAAAACTACTCATGTGTGCTTTGTCTCCCCGCTCTCCTGGGAGCCTCTGAGAACAGAGGTTTTGATTTACCATTTCTGTTCATTCAGTCCTAGCAATGCTCCATAATAATAAATACCTCCAATTATAAAATGCTGATTGCATGCCACTCTGATGTCTTACAGACATTGTTCCTAGCATTATAATCCGCTACACAGTGGTAGTTGTTACCTGCATTTTAAAGAAAGGGAATTATGGTCTGGCAGAAATGAGATAAAAACAGGTTTCTCAGCTCCATAGTCACCATTCTTGGTATTCTGTCACATTCTAGGAATATCCAGTATCGTAAATGAATTGGATTCATGCCTCAGCCTGAGCAAGAGCTACTGGTAGCCTTAAGTTCTGCCCACCAGCTATTTCTGACTTCTACTTTACCATGTAGACTTCCATATCAACCCTGTTTACCACTTGGATAGACAGCAGTACTAAAGTCTGGGGTTTGGCCCCACAGCCTGTCGCACAGCCTGGCGTGCTACTATCAGCACAGGAGAAGCTTGATGTTAATGCGTGGAGGGAAC